TACAACCACACCGAACAATACCTATCATGGACCCCTAGAGAAATTGAGATTAAAGAACAATGAAAAGGTTCTGAATTCAGCTGTTGTGAACTAGTGAGGGACTCCTCTAGTAGTTAAGGAGTTATAGTGGTGTTGTAAGTTCACGGGTTATTGACTTGTCTACTCTTTGAGAGAATCAATGGTAATGCTTTTGTTTCTGTGTTTTTTTTTTTTTGCCAATTTAACTTGTTCTTGTGCATATTGTTCCAATTACAAGCCTTGATTAGATAAGTTATCTGCTGGTCTCTTCATGCATCTAATCTGATTTTTATTTCCATAACAGGATGACCAATTCATAGACATGGTATACCGGGCACTGCTGAATGCACATCATTCATAATTCAAGGAGGAACTCTTCTAAATCATCTGATGGAATTTCATTACATCTGTTCACCCAGGGCTAAAAAGAGGATCAAATGGTCGGTGTATAGGGAGTTCTTTGTGTTTATGGTGTCTGTTTGAGACCCGCTATGTATAGTTATATATTTTGTTTCAGTGCTAGGTTTTGGAGTTTAACCTCTTTGATATATAGTTTTCTTTTATCTATGATCTGGACATTCCAATTTTGTTCTTTACAGCATTAAATCAAGAATCATGTGAACAGTCTTTTCAACAGTTGTGCTTATATGGTTATTAATCCATAGTCCGGTTTAGTACTAAAGATTTAAGAATTGATTGACATAAATATTGGAGTAATATTCTTAATTAATAATGAAGTATAAAAACAATGAATGTTGAATAAGGAGCAGCCTGCACCCAGTGTTATGAATGCTTAGTTTGCTGGGAAAAAAAGTGTGAAGACAACTAAGGTGAGTTTTCTAGAGGTACTAACTTTTGTTCGTTGTGATCTATAATGTAAGTTTTAGGTTTTAGGTGCCCAGCTTATTTGATTATAAATTATATAAATACTATGATTGTTCAAGTTTTAAATTTTATCAAATAAAACATTTTAAAGAGAAATCAAAGTGATCTAAACAGGAAAGAAACACAATTTCATGTTATAAAATTAGTATTAGTATTAACATTATTAGAAACAAATGAGAGATAATAAGTACTCGAAATAGTTTAAAGATATATGTATCATACATGATTTAATACACGTTTGTGCATAAAAATTTACTAAATTTGTGATAAATAACGAACATGAATCTATAATTTTAAATATATAACAAGTTCAATGTTATGAATTTTAAAATATATAATTTAATATCTGGATTCACCAGCTGAGGTAGTTGATAAATTTCATTCATGTATTTCTTTGTTTACAAAATCAAAATAGATACAGAAATTGATAATTGAATTCCACATAGATTGGCTAGCTCCAACACATTATCCAAAACAGAAACCAGTCTATCTATAAAATTCCACATGGCAATTAGGGATTGATCAACAACATATCTATGAATCTTATGAAAGAGACAATCCTACTTGTCACCACACATTTCCCAAATATGAATATTGTCCACAGAAATCATCAATTATTTGTATACACTCTTTATTATTCCTTGTGAACTCCCTAACACTAACAAAATACTATTCAGAGAAGAAGGAAACAAGAATGGCAGCAACAATGTCCAGTGTTGTAGGCTTAGCTAACTCATCTCTTTCTGGATTTTCTTCTGCAAAGAAGACTAGCCTCTCCTCAGGTATACCCATCATAATTTCGTCTAAATTCCTTTAATAATTTTTTATGGCTTCCTTTTGTGCAACTCTATCAAGATTATGCATTTGCAAATGAGTTTTAAGTTCTTTGGTACACTTACACCATCATGTTAAGTTGATTTAGAACAATTGATTCTTCGAAAAGAGTTTGACTTTTGTATATACCTTTTTTTTCTTTTCTGAAATCCTTACTGGAGCTCCCGTTAAATCTGAATAGTGTACCTAGACATTTTATAGACTATAGTGTGCGCTATTATTATTATTGCTTTGAATAATAAAATCTATTATATTTTGTGTTGATAGACTTCGTGAGGTCAACAGTGACAGCAAGAAACCCTTTAAGGGTAGCAAAAGCTTCAGGAGGCAGAGTTACATGGTAAATTACTAAATTAAAAATAGATCAATCCAATTAATACAATGGTTTATAAATATTTCCATATTTTTTTTCCACCTATAGTTGATTATTTTTATGAAATTCAGCTTCCAGAGGGACTGGCTGAGGAGAGACTTGAATGTGATTGGATTTGGTCTGATTGGATGGTTGGCTCCTTCAAGTGTTCCAGCAATCAATGGAAAGAGTCTTACTGGCCTTTTCTTTGAAAGCATTGGCACTGAACTCGCTCATTTCCCCACTGGACCTGCTCTAACTTCTCAATTCTGGTACATTTTTATGTTTAACTCTTTAATTTCAACTTTTCACGTGTTATGTCAGAATCAGACTAAGAAATATTGTGTGTGTTGTGGATATTGGACAGGCTATGGATGGTGTGCTGGCACTTGGGGTTGTTCCTGTGCCTGACTTTTGGACAAATTGGATTCAAGGGACGGACCGAGGACTATTTCTCTAAGTAGAGACATTATTTTCTTTTAAAAATTTCATGTATAAATTATAATTAAGCTACTGAAGTATTTTGTGGAGTATTTATTTTCTTTCATTTATGCATTTTATGGATAACAAATACATCTTCTCCTTTCCAAGTTTTTCATTTTTATGTTTATTAGTTAAAGCATGATATATGAGATTAATGTGTTATCATAAACAATGATACAAATTTAAATATGGAAAATGAAGATAGAATTTAAGATAGACAATTGACAAAGATCAATTAACATTCAATTACGAAATACGAACAAAGTGAACATAAACAATCGATGAATACTTTCAAGTAAAAGAAATTCCATTTGATAACATACCTAGTAAAGTTGTGTTCAACAATGACAAGGGACAAGCAATATCGATTCAATTATAGTAATGTCTCTGGTAGATTTTTTTTTTTAATCAAATAAGAGAAAGGTCAATTCAATTTTTGATGAAAACAAATTCACGACCCTAAAATATAGAATATTAAGGATTATGTGCGTATTTGACTAACAAGTAACCGAAATAGCAAAGTTAAAAGTAACTAAGTAGTCACACATTACAAAAAAAAAAGACCAAATTAGAGATATAGCTGCCACTTACATTTATAATCTTCGATTGATGTTCAAATGATATATGTGGCCGCCTAATTACAAAAATAACCTTCAATTGAAATCGAAAAAATATTGATGGCTCTGTTATTTCGTATCACGATTAAACCACATTGAATAATGTATACAACTTAAATATTTCCTTTTTAATTTTGTTGTCTCTTGGATTAAAAGAAGAGCAACTTTCACATATAGCAAACAAAAAAATCATATTTGTATGCTATAACAAAGTCTGCATAATTGCGCTCCATAGCAAACATATATATGTATAATTCGCTATACATATACAATTGAAAGCTATGTCTATTCGCTATACATATATACAAAAGAAGCAATTGTATAATTCGTTGGCTCCTCTTCAGATTTGTATAATTTCGCTGGCAGACCATTTGTATAAATTGTTGTCAGCCTCTCGTTTGTATAAATCGTTCAGAGTCTCTCAATCTAATTTTATGTGTTTGTATATCTGTATAAAATTTCAATTTGTATACAATTGAATCGAAATAAAACGTTTGTATATCAAATATCGTTCTCTCTCTCGCTTTATACAAACATAAATTATACATTGTATTTTGTATAATTTGTGTTTGTATAAAGCGAGAAAGAGAAAGGCAAAAGAGAACTGGACAAGGGAATATTTGTATTGTATAATTATAAGTGTATATGACGAAGATATATGTATTTGCATATGTATATATAATTTTCTATCGCTTTATACAAACAGAAACACAATTTATACATTTCTGTTTGTATAAAGCGAGAGAGGCGAGCGAGTGAGAGAGGGAGAGTGGCGAGCGAGAGTTTGAGGGAGAGAGGCGACTGGCAAACAGTTTGCTACCGGGCACAATTAAATCAAAGTGTGGTTATATCATTTAATTTGAATTAATAGTTTGTCATTATGTATAATTTTCCCTTAAAAGAATCCGTTTAAATCGACTTATTTTATTTTTAAGTTAGAAATAGTTTTTCATAATGAAACTGTTTTATAAACTGAAGAACAGAGGCTGACTACGGCCATGTGAAGGGCCACACGAATTACAGAATATTGGAGTTTTTCTGGGGATTTTCTAAAAATATGCAAAAGGGAAAAAAGGACAAATATGCCCCTAAACTATCGTAAATGGTAAGCAAATATCCTCAGTCATACTTTTGGGACATTGGTGCCCTTACCGTCCAAAAACTAGAGCATATATACCTTTATACTAACGGACATACACGTGTCATAATCTTATCCACTGATCCGACATTTATCGACGAATAAAATTGCGCCACGTGTCCCTATTTAGTCTTCCGTTAGAGTGAGGGGCATATATGCTCTGGTTTTAGACGGCAGGGGCACCAATGTCTCAAAAATATGACGGAGGATATATGCATAGCATTTACTATAGTTCAGGATATATTTGTCTTGTTTCCCTATGCAAAATACTTTAAGCCGTTATATGGGGGCCCTTCCTTCTTTTACAAAATCCCTGCCAATTTAAGCCTTCAGCAACGGCTACAATTGCAATCAATATTACTATCTGCTCAAGGAACAATAATGCTGGATAGAGACAAATGATTAGCTAGTAAATGCTTAAATTCATTTACCTTGCGAGTATCAAGTAACTCGGGGACTGAATACAACTTCTGCTTTCACTTTATTGATCACTAGTCTACGTGTGTGATTGTGATTTTAACTTTTGTATATACTTGAATAATGTCACAAAAGAAACAGAGTAGGTGCATATCAAATAATTTGTGTTACGAAAGTATTTTACCCTTTTTCTCATAAGCACTCTGATTTGCATGCCAATCATTCATTCTAGTATCTCCGAAACACACAAAAGCCTAAAGGGCTATTTCCCACTTCTCTTGTTCCCTCTTTTTGACTGGTAAAGTAGTTAAAAAACTTGTGCACAGTGGAAAATGAGTTCATCAAGATCAACTTCTCTGCATAATGATAAGTATATGCAAACAGAGGGCTCTGATGACTTGTCGGTTTCGGCAAGAACACTGGCTTCTACTCTATGGGAAACTAAACTGAAGGATTTGGAGGAAATGGGTTGGAAAGAAAGAGTTTCCAAATTGGGTTCAGCAGCTCTGCAATTTCATGACCCTGTTTCTCAGGTGGGTTTAAGGGAAAAAATGGTTTTTGTTTGGTCGTTTTCTTGGAAAAGTTTGTAGCTTTAAGTTCTGCATATTGTGTGTGTGTTTTTAAACTTTTATATTGACGTATTTTGGTTCTTGAATTTTGCAGAGAACGGAGCGATCCAAAGTGCGTAGTCATAGAAGAAGAAAATCTACCAAGGCTGATCTCTCTAACCAAAATGATTGCTCAATAGAGGTATGCTACTGACAGTTAATCCATTTTTTAGTTGAACTGTTCTTTATAGGTTTTTGGTTAAAAAAAATAACTTTGGTGTTGGGTTAGTTTGTGTTCTACTAATTTTGTATCTGCTAACTAAACCTGTCCACTAAAGCTTGGACACATGAGAAGAAAGTGCGTAATGTTTTTTGTCTCTACTGGAATTTGAACGTGAGATCTCAGGGTTCTGAGGCCACTTTGTAAAAAATTAGGGATGTTTAGTGAAGATTCATATAACTGACTTAACTAGCATGAAATTGAGGCAAAGTAGTTGTTGAACCTATCCAAGTTTCCACTTTGGTTTCTCTTCTTAGTGGCGTTTTGACGTGCCCTTTGGCCTCTTCAAAGTTAATCTTAGGAAATGGAAAAAAAATTTATGAACAAAGGAACAAACATGTGACTTGGTTGATGGTCCTAGTTCAGGTTCTATCAAAGCCGACATGTTGTTTTCCAACACTGAATTGATATATTTTGAATTTTGTTTTTTATGGAAGTTTTTCTTGTAAGATCTCCGACTCTATCACTTCTCTTAGCTGCTGCTACTTTCAGTTAGCTACTCTATATTCAATTATATGGTTAATACAAGGATGAATATGCAGCTTGATAGGACACAAAATCATGGACAGACTCTAAGCAGACATCATTTGAAGGATGTGTGTCATGGTCTTACCACATGTAAAGAGCTGCTGAAAGTTCTGAGTCATGCCTGGAATCTTAAAGATCAGAAATCTACATGTTCATCCCTTTTTGCAGCTATAAATACAGAGCTTGACTGGTTGTGTGATGAGGTGTCTAAATTGATACGCGAACACAGACATAACCACAGTGAAGTTGATGACCTCTTGAAGAAGTTTGAAGAAGAAAAGATGGCCTGGAAGGTAAAAGAGCAAGACAAGATTCATACTGCTATTACATCTGTAGCCAGGGAGTTCAAGATAGAGAAGAAATTGAGGAAGCAAACTGAGAGATTAAATAAGAAGCTTGGTAGAGAACTGGCGGATACAAAGGCGTCGCTTTCAAAGGCAGTCAAAGAACTTGAAGGCGAGAAAAGGGACAGAGATATATTGGAGCAAGTGTGTGATGAATTAGCCAGAGGTCTCGGAGAAGATAGAGCTGAGATGGAAGAATTGAAGAGACAATCTGCTAAAATCCGGGAAGAGGTGGAAATGGAACAGAAAATACTTCAACTAGCTGATGTCATGCGGGAGGAAAGAGTTCAAATGAAACTATCAGACGCCAAATATCAATTTGAGGAGAAGCATGCAGTTGCGGATAAGTTAAGGAATGAACTTGAAGCATATTTGAGATCCAAAAAGGGCCACGAACAAGGCTGTGATTCGCTGAATAATGAAACAATCAATGAACTTGAGAGACACTTTAGAGAAACGCTTCCAAGCACACACCATTACCAAGATAAAGAGAAGGCAGATGTAGAAATACTCGATAAAGAAGAGGATAGAGAAGAAGGTGATTCAACTGATAGTGATCTTCATTCAATTGAACTAAACATGGGTGACAACAGCAAGAGCCATCAATGGTGCACTGCTCTACAGAATGATCCGAATAGATTGTTGGTTTCTGATAAAAATAAAGGGAGGAGGTCCATCTCAGAGAAATTCCCAGAGCAAAGCACTTCCTTAGAAAGGGAGACTTCAGATGGCATAGAGTGGGAGTTCTGCGTGGGAGAGAAAGAAAACGTGAACACTATAGATAGAGGAATTTCAAACTTTCTTAACAACGGAGGAACACCAGAATTCTCTTCTCAAGCTTGGAAAAAGGGTCATGCGGATGAGACGGAGAGATATAAAATGATCAAGAATCTTTGTGACCGTATCATTTCTGCTTCAAGAATTACAGCCTCTCAAGGCTTTTCTGGTCCAACCAAGAACTGTAGCCAACAGAAATTTTCTGCCAATGATCCTAACAAAGTGATGGTGAAGGCTTTGCCATCTTGCAGGGAGAAACTTGAAGGAATACCAGAGATTATTGCAGTGTCCTGCAGGGAGGTACTCGAATAAATGCCAGAATGCCAATTTCAAGATTCCATCATAAGCGGCATGCTTCTACAGCCGGATGCTTTTTTTACACAACTAGATGGACATAATCATGTTGTTCTTTGTCTGAATGAATAGTTAAATATCTGATAATTCAGGAATGTCAACAGAATTTTGAGTTTTGGTTGTTGGATGAGACAAAACAGTTCAAAATTTTGCTAATGTTCTCTAATGAATGAATAAACGTTTACTCTATTCAATACTATATATGACTTTTCAAATTCTTCTTTTCTGTACCTCTAATGTATCAATCCTTTGTGTATTCTTATGTTACGTGCTTCACTGTTCCCACTTCTGTTATGCTTAGCCTACTACATTTCCAGTCAATTCCAGGTAACAATGAAAGCGAACTGCATGTTGAGTACTCAAGTGGAATTCCACAGGTTGAAGCATAAAGTTCCAATCTGTGCTTGGTGGAAGAAAGTCAAATTCTTATTGAGAAATTTCCTTTAAGTGATATCCATTTGGAGTATCATTTATGTGGATTCAAAACTTTACAAACGTCTATTTTAATGTAGGTGTAATCTATTATTGGAGAGAGAGATTTTTACTGATCTTTTCTGAACACTCCATCATCAGGTTAAGGGAATGGTTAATAAATCTTTTCATGCATAAAGCACCTCCAAAAGACCATCTTATAAACAGATGAACAGTTAAGTACTTTGAGTTCCCTTCATGTTCCTTTATTTTATATTGAAGAAACATCAACAACTTCAAGAGATAAAGAAAAACAAACAAATATACAACATTAGTAGCTAGATCATTCAAGTTGGTTTACTCTGGGACGGATGCGAGCACACAATGGATTCTTCATCATAACGGTGAATTCCTGCTTCTCAGATAAATCAACATTGTTTCCATCCACAGCCTTCCACTCAAAATGCCAGATCAAATTTGCCACAATGTGTTGACACCCAATTTTGGCCCTCCACAATATGTATTGATCATCGAGCTTTTTCAATTTCAAACGATTTGAAATAATTAGCTTTTAATAAAAGTTGCAATGTATTTCAAGTTTAAAAAAAATATATATATATAGTTTTGTCACTATTTTTAAATTTTCAAATAATACACATATTTTATAAAATTATATTTAGTACATTTTATGGGTATTCAAAAATCATCTAAAAAATAATAATAACAATTTAGTTTTTCCTAAATATTTGGTTAATTTAGTTTAGTTAATTAATAGCTTATATTTTTGAGTTAATCAATTTATAATTAAGTTAATCATTTTATTTTGTTAAAATTAAGAAGCTCGTTAATTAATTAGTAACAATTCATCTTATTTGATCTTTAGCCGAATTCATCAATCATCGAATTGGCTATGTGTTAAAATTCCATTGGTTAAATTTGGTAATGCAATGAGCCATTTCGGCTAAAATTGCAATACTTTGGTCAAATCCTAAAGACCAAATGGTTTTATAATAAACCCTTTTCCCAAATCTTGGCCCAATCTCATACAACCCATCAGCTACATACAACAATACACACGATCAGCAACACCAAACAGTACCCGACTGACCCAGAACTCAAGCGCGACCCCTGCTGCGTCTTCTCCCTCGCGTGACCAGACGAGCAGAAACCCAGAAATTCCAGTAGTACGCGACGCAACTCTCCAAAATCGCACGTAGCCCGCGTCGTCCTCTCCCTCTCTTCGTACAAGAATATTCTCGATCGAGCCAGGTGTTTGCATCTCGCGCCTCGATCGTCCTTCACTCAAAATCAACGCCTCTCCATTCAAACTCGTACACTAACCAGTTGGCAACCCTTATATGTTAAGGGATTTTTCAAAAATCCCACATCGAAAATCTTTCCATTTTTTAGAGATTTTAGGCCCTATAAATAGGCCTTCTTCTCACTGTCCGAAGGGGAATGAGGAAAACCTGAGAGTACCCCTAAAAGGTTTGGGAAATCTTGGTTCAATAGTTCAATTTTTGTGGTTGTTCGAGTTGAAAGGGGTGGTGGAGTCGTCTTCTCAACTCGTCGTTTTAGCTCGCTGCTCAGTGAAAGGTAATTCTTCCTTCTTTTAAATATTTTTATTTATTTGGTTGTGTGTTGAATGACTGGATTAGATCAGTTTAGTTGTTGTATCTGTTAGTAATTTTGATTTTTGGTTTGCTGTCCATTCTGATGTCTTAGTAACTAGTAAAACAACTAATTTTCTTGTTTGTCGTAGATACTGTTTAGTTCTTTGTTTATATTTTATGTTTAACATTAAATTCATATTTGCTAAAAAGAGGATGGCTGATAGCTAGCATTACTTCACCCTCGTTTATGAAGAGTAGCTCTTATGTTAAGCTCTATTTGTTCTTATTTTGACCAACAACTTATTTATTCTGCTAGCTATTTGTTTTTCTTTTCCCTTCTTAGCATGTTCACTAAAAGAAAAGTAATAATTGAGTTTCATATGCTCCATATGGCTGGTTGTCTTAATCTTTGCTAAAGTTTGTTTGGAATTTATTTAACATTCTCTGATGTGTCTCTCTAGTATCGCTTATTGTTACTTTAAAAATGAATAAATTTAGCTAAACTTTGTTGAATATAGTTAGCAATGGGTTCCCTTGTTTAAATAACAGTTTGTGGAATTCTTAATTAATTAGCTGCTTTAGAGATGTTTTAGTAGGGTGATTTGTTGCATTTAATATTGGTTCTTTCATCCTTAATTTCTATTTAGTTATATTGATATGCTATTTGGGTTAGCTGCTAGCTGGCTATTATAGTTAACTTTAAAAATCCCCATGATAGTAGCGAATAGCCCATTTATGTTTACTATGTGTGGCCGCGTGCGTTGGCTAAATGAATAGTTAGTTGCATTTTGCTCATTTATTTCTCCCATGTTCATGGATCCTTATTGTTTGACCATAATAAAATGAATTTGAATTATTGCTCTATTCAAACTCGCTAATCCTTATTTCGTTTGTTTTCTTTGTGTGAACTTTCTTGTTCGAGTCCATTTGGACTCTCCATTGGTTTGCATTCAACTCTCTTCGAGTCAACCTCATCGGAATCGTGAAAGGGAAGCTAATATTAATGGGTCAAATCCCAAATCAGTGGCAGCAGCTAAGTAGCGGTGTAATGGCAATCCCAAATGGCCGAAAATTGAATTTTGGGATTTTAAAATCCAATTCAATTGCAGCAGTAGCAGCCAGCAGTCCCAAACGAACTAAAATTGGAAATTTTTGGACTTTAATTAGTCCAATTTACAGCAGTAGAGCAGCCCGCAAAGGGCTAAAGATTTTGGAATTTAGGACTTAAAGGTCCAATTTGAGCATAAGCGACAAAAGTGGTCCGAACATTAAGTCCAATGGCTTGATTTGGAGACATGCTCTTTTCCTTTATTTGTCTTATTATTTGTTTATTGATTGATTGTGAATTAACGCTTTATCTAATTTAGATGAATCCTTGGGAGTTTTTTAAAATAACTTTTCTATTTCGTTAGTTGTTTACTTCAAATATCTAAATTTTCAAAACCCGTTTTAGTTAAGTCACTCTAAGCTTTCAAGACTAACTTGAGAATTATCTTATATTCTTTCATAGTTAGTATTTAGCTTTCAAATCCACGCTTAAGTTATTGTGTTGATTTTTCGACTCAAAAACTTGACTCGGATAAAATGTTAAGTTAAATTATTATTTTGGCACTTCAACATTTGAATTATTTCATTAATTGGGATAATATGAATGTACAAGTATCAAAAGATTTCTCATTTATCAAAAAATAAATATATATATATAACAAAATTAAATAATAAAATAATAAAATAAGATTTTTTCAAGTAATTTAAGTTATCTTTTCAAATTAGCCAACCTTTAAATCCGTCGGTTAACCGCGTGTTAGCGGATTCTCTAAGATGCCTAAACCCTTCCTTAGAGAATTATTTGAACTCTTACCCGACTCTGGTTTATTAAATGTTTTATTTAAAATATTTCCTTTCAAAAAATTCCTTTTAAAATGGTTTTCTTAATTTTTCCTAAAGAATTAAGTGGCGACTCCAAATAACTCATTTTTCCAAAACATAACAAAAGTTGCCAAAGTTGCGAAATTGGTTTCGAAACCTTAGTTTTCGAAATCAGGTCGTAACAGAATGGCGACTCCCCCGGGGATTCATCTAGGTTCTAACCAAAAGGATTTTATTGTTTGGCTAACTATTATTGTATTAATTGTTACTTTATGCAATTATATGTTTAAATTTTGAATATTAATTGTCATATTGCATTCATGGCACTTTCTGATATTTGTATAGTATATTAAAGAACGGTTTCTGCATAATCGCAGCCGGACTTTTTATAATCAACCCTTTTTCGGAATGATCGGCAATTTATTGGTACGTCATGCGTCCAATGGTTGTTGTGACTTCCAGCCTAAGTTGTCCACTTGGGTTCCCGGTCTTTCAAAAGCCACTCTTAGTCAACTAGCGTAGAGCGAAACCAAATCCCGAATTTAGCGCATTTTGAACTAAGTTGACCCAACACCCAAGGCGTGCTGGGCCCATTAGAAGACCACCTTAAGTCTAATTGACCCCCGGTCAATATAAGACGATCATTCAACTATTTGTTAAATTTGAAGGATATGTATGTCGATTTGTGCGTACATGGCCCTTTGTGTTGGGTTTTTATTTACATAGGTAGTTTCTTTATTGAAGTCAAAGGAAGATCATCCTCACCCAGAAGAAATTCAAAAGTACCAAGAAGTTCGGGAATGAAGATTACATATGGAAGCTTAGTTTAGTTTACCATTGTACCCCTGCGTGGGACTGCTATTTATTTCCCTTTCCTCTATTATGTATCACCATTTGCTTTATTCATAAGGTTTGTATATTTATTTATATTTTTTGTTGGGGCAATGGAACGTTTTACAATCGACATACACATCCTTCAAACGTTAGGCCTACCTTTGGCTCAAAAAGGTCACATGTATGTTAGGAGGCGTTACATATTGTTTGTGTGTTAAATGTTACAAATTTTATGTCGTTTGTGCTTGTTGGACCTATG